AAATATTGAGAGCGAGGTTAAATAAAGAAATGAACGAGAAAAAGATGTTACTGGCAGGGCAGGCATGGTTCCATAAGAATAGGTCAATGATGGATAATACATACGTACTGAATTACTTAATACAGAGGGCAAAAGTTAATAAGGAAAAATTATATGTAGTATTTACAGATTTTAACGCAGCATTTGATACAGTTGATAAAAATATTTTATGGAGGGTTTTGGGAAAGGAAGCATTGAGTAAATATGTAATTAGAAGGTTGAAGGAGGCTTACGTTGAAACAAAAGTAAGGATTAGAAGTAAAGGAAGTATGTCAAATGAGTTTAAAGTAACAAAATGGTTGCGGCAGGAATGTTTTTTGAGCCCAGCACTTTTTTCTGTATATATTGCAGATCTAGAGGATAAGTTTGAAACAAGGAACGAGAGAGTATCCAAATGAATAAAGAAAAAATATGGTCGCTAGCGTGTGCGGATAACCTGGTGCTAGTTGCTATGAATAGGGAGGCTTTGGAAGACATGATGAGGGTGCTCAAAGCGTTCATAAACAAAGGGAAGCTAGTATGAAATTGTAAGAAAATAAAACTGATGATATTTAACAGCATTGTAAGGGTAGGGAATTTAAAATGGAAGTGGGGGGTGGAGAGAATAGAGGAGGAAGGAAGCTTTAAATATCTAGATTTCGTTTTTAATAGAAAAGGTGACTTCAAGGATCGTATAAAGGATTTGAAAATTGAGGACATCGTAGCGGCAAAGAAAATTTGGAGCTAGGGGGATAGGCTATGCAAAAATGACTTTCAGAGAAGAAGCTTTATGTATAACAATAAAGGTATTGAAAGTAATAGACACTAAAATAAAAGAACTAAAAAAAGAGAACGCGTGAGTATGTACAATATTAAATAACGTATATGTGTAATTAAATATTATAAGCCAGTATAATTTATCTGTTTTGTTACTTAACTATGTAACTTATGTAAGTACCAACGGAAAAAGTTAGTGTGAAAAAACGTAGCAAACCGTAACTTTCTGTGATGTAATGTACAGTTTGATTGGATTTCAGACCACAGTTACAGTTTGTTACGTTTTGTTACGTTTAATTATAGTCAACTACAACCCAACACATTGTCTTACGATTCGTTACATTTCATTATAATTCTTAAAAGACACTTGAATCTCGTGAAAACGCAACTGTAATAAACTCTAGTAAACTGTAAGGAAGTGTTGTCATCTGTAATGTTTTATAACAGCTTATAGTTTTTTGCAGTTTATTACACTTTTTTATGTTTTATTATCATTGATAACTTTTAGACACATTTCCTTACATTTTCGAATAAAATTTGCTTTAAATGAAAAAAACTTGAGTAACTATTATGAAAAAGTATAAGTGTAACAGCATGTGGTAAATCATGTAAAAACGTAAGAAAATGTCAGAAAACGTAACACAACATAATAAAGTGTAAGAAACGTCCGAAATCCATGAGACTATTACAGTTCCTTACATTTTATTATATTTTCTTGCAGGTTACGGCATATTATAACACATGTTCACTTTTTCTAACGTTTTGTTGCGTTTTCAAATTTCCGCTGGAGTGAATATTAAAATTTAGCTGCCATGCTGCCCACCTTGGCCGCAGCTTAGCACCTGACTTGGCCTCTAGTGGGTTTGTAATACGGCACTGACTTGAGTGGGCGATAACTGGGCAAAAGTCATGCCACGTCAGGCCAAGCTGCGCCTAAGTCAGCGCCGTAATAAAAAACTACCTGCGGCATGGTTCGTTTGCTTGATTTAGACTATGCGTTTAAGCTGGACTGCCCACTTTTAATTTCTACTCGGGTAGTATTAAGTACATAGACATAAGAAATATAGATTGTTGGTTCTCATGTACGGCACTGAACCATAAATAGAGGGAGACACACAACATTGAACGTGGGTATTCTGTCTCTCTTGCACATTCCTACCTTTAGCAACGTGCTAGAGAGACAGATACCCGTGTTCGATGTTGCGTCTTCTGTTACTTGTGCTTCAGCACATTACATAGAAACGAGCAGTCTATGTTACTTATATGTCTATTATAAAGTATTATTGTTATAAGAGCAAAAATCTCACATTCGATAAAAATAATTATTTAACCTACTATACATAATAGTATGACAATTTTCAATCGTTTAGCATGAACGACAGTCAAATTACAAACTATTGAAACCAATTTTGATAGCATAGACAATAGGCTTATAAGAATTATAGACTGCTCGTTCTGATTCACGGAGCTGAAGCTCAAGTCGACAGAGACACAACGTCGTACGTCGACATCTGTCTCTCTTGCACTTTGCCAACGGTAGGGATGTTGCATTAACCGGACTTAGCTTACTGACCCCCACCCCCCACCACTGTCAATGTGCGAGAAAGATAGATACTTCCGCTCATTGCTCAATGCTGCGTCTCTTTCTACTCGTGCTTTAGCGGATTCAGCATTGTGTTCGGTGGATTCAATATCGGAACTTTTTCCCTCGATCGTATATATAGCTATACGATCTAGGGAGAACGTTCCGTCGAGCAGACAGCATAGCAGTGAAGGGGCATTGCCAAAGACCCGCGAAAATTGAAAATTGTAATATTATAACACAAGTGCCTATCACCCAATGACCCGATGTGCTAACTGGCCTCTCTATTAAATAATAAAGTATTGATTATTGACACAAGCGCCTATCACTCGATGACCCGGGGCGCTTACTGGCCTCTCTATTAAATAATGAAGTATTAATTATTAACCCAAGCGCCTGTCACCTAGTGACCCGGGGCGCTTACTGGCCTCTCTATTAAATAATAAAGTATTAATTATTNAGCACGCCGGTATAGGGCTAATGGAGCTCTCTGATTGGTCAGAGGAGGTATGTGTTGACTACATTGCAAACTAATAAACCGTTTCAAGTACCACACAGTACACGGACTTATAGCTTTGTTCGGGACCTCAAATCCGGTGATATAATGGTGACTTCCGGTGTCTTATTTTCGGCCATTGTCTATAATAGGACATCGGAAGTTACCATTATGTCACCGGATTTGAGCTCCCGAACAAAGCTTATGTTGAAGTAATACTCAAGCGCTTATAGTGCTTGTAGTACAAATTTTTTCTTTAGTTATTCAGGTAGGATTGTACCACTTGAGACATTGTATTAATTCGTGGTATATAATAAACACAGAACCTTTCGTGTATTTATCGAGGTGCTGTGTTCCTATAGGTATCAAGCCCATATCGCGAATATTGCCTTCTGCTGTGCCCGACCAATAGTTCTCGTTTTTCCCTCGGTGGCGCTGCTTCAAAATTGTGCACGTAGCGAATAGCTTATTTTGTTCGTTTTAATGCAAGGAACATCGGCCTGAATTTGAACCAATTCTGAAGGTGAGAAACAATGTCAAACTAACGATGAATTGAGCAAAAATCGCAATAAATTAAGTTTCATCGCAATTTGCTTTAAACGAATTATAAATGCAATAATTGGATTTTTTTAATTTATAGGTATTAGAAGTTCAAACAATTTAAGACCAGTTAAATTGAAATTGGCAAATAATAGACATAGTAGATAGACTTGGCCGGTTCTGGACTCAACCTCCCTAGGACAGTAGGGGAAAGGGGGAGCTCGTGCTGTTG